CCGAATGAAAGATAAAAAATTAAATAAAGATGTGAGAGCATACCTAGGTTCAGTAGAAGCTATCACAGTTCTAGCCCCAATGTCAATGTCTGTTGCCCGAGGACTACGTTGTCGTGAATCGTTGGGATCATCACTATCACTCAAGGACTCACCAGAGACTGAACCAGTGACCAAATCTCCATCCAAATCTGCAGGACCTGGCCTACTTCGAATACATGCAGGTCTAGGGAGGGGTAGGAATGAAGATGTCTTGGAACTTCTCTCTAATTTAGATTTTGCTGTCACACCAATGCCAGAATCTGTGCGACTTATACCCACACGGTGCAAATCTGGAAGTGGAAGTTTGTGAGAACGTGATCTTTCAGCAAAACTTTGACATCTAGATACTTCTTTGGAAGGTGATGGTGATCTTGATAGAGGTGATTTAGACCCCTTCTCAGATATAGTGTCACCACCACGTCTACGAGAACTTCCTGATCTGCAGTTCACTTTCCCTTCAGGTGGATTCTTAAACTTACGGTGTAATGAATCAATGAAACTTTCCTTGCTCGCTTTCTTCTTCACTTCTTTGGATGACGACTTCCCCCACCATGAAGGCATTTTTGGCTTTTATCCTAAATTATGTGGATGAAGCAAAGAAGCCACTCTAAATTGAACTCTCTCTGCAGGAGAAAATATTTCCTGAAAACGGATGATTAAGCAGATGTTACACTTCCAAGGCATCCGACAAGTAAATGATACCCTTCATACCATAGACACGCTGGTAAAGCTGTGACTGAGGACCCAAACTACCACTTCAGCTAAGATTTGAGAAAGCCCAACAATCAGGAACTTGTAACAAAATCCTGCATGAAAAGGAAGTGGAAATTTGAATGCTTAAGATACCAAGAAGATGATGTATCTGTTAGAGAAACAGCATTCTATTTATTATTATAAAAATTGAAAACTGATCCAGTTAGAATTTAAATAATATATATATGTTCTAAAAAAAATGTCTAGATAGTCTGAACGAAAAGTGAGCTTGTGCATGCAGGAAATTCAGGATTTCACGACCTCGGATACAACAAACATGTTCCAAGCAAACTCTGGATCCATTAGCTTTATATTCTTCAGCAGCAATACTGCAAAAACTGGGTAAGTTTCTCTAAAGCTTTTGAAGTCTTCCAATGCATACGAATCACTACCGACAATCACAATCTTACAGTTTGAATCTGAGGTTCAAATTTGAAAGGTACAGATGAGACGATTGGACAAATAGTGCCTTTCGTGGCTGATATGGGTCCACAATCACAAAATACCTTTGAATCTTTGAATTAGGAAAATAGTGCAAAGATTTTTCAAGCACTATTTGACTCTCTTTAATAATCCCCAAATCTACTTCTTAATTGGAGACAGTCAAATTTCTATTATCTTAACATTGATAAATTTGAGATTTTTTCATGATCCCCAAATCTACTTCTTCAATGGAGTTATAAAACTTTGTCCAGTTTCTCACGTAATTACTTTTATTGATATAAAATATAGTCCTTGATCTGTATTAAAAGAAAAGTCTCATTGATGGAAATGAGAAGGAAAAAAACAAAACAGAATAATAAAAATAAAGAATCAAAAGTGGTAAGCAACTTTTAATCCTCGCAATAAGGAAAACTAATGGTTAATGAGAGCTTGAGACCATTAATTACACCGCCGAACAAGTAAAAACGATTAGACAGTCAACATACCCAACATAAAATCGAATGATTCTAGCTGCCTTCCACTCCGAAGAACTTCTTATTAAGGAAAGGTGGGAAAAAATTTGACTAGATCAGATGGAAAAAAAAAATCCAAATCCAAATCCAAATCCAAATCCAACCTCTAATCGCTTGTGTTATTTGATATAAACCAAAATTCCCACTGCAACAAAATGAACTGAACCATTAAGCTCTGTCGTCGCCAACCACACTTCCAAATTTAATTTCCTCCATTTCTTTCCCAAGCTTATTAGGAAATCAAACAACGAGCTACACGTCCATCGCGCACGAAACTATACTCTACGATACAGATCTACCATGAATCTAATACAGATAAACTAGCACAGTGACTAAAGAAACTAAAACCGGATAATCAACAATTTACTAAAATTAGATTAAAAGAAAGAAATGAAGAAGTGTTACCTTAGATATCGGAAACTGCAAATTCCAGTAGAATCCCACTCTACTCGCCCAAATCCTAGTGAGGTAGACTTCCACAGTAATTCAAACTGAAGAGAAATTAGAGGAATCGAAACCCTAGAATCCGAAATCACAAATTATCAGAGGCGAAACGTTACATCAATCTTCTCCATTTCATACTGAATTGTGGGATTGAGAAAATCGCGTAACGAAAGTGAGAGAGAGAGAGAGAGAGAGAAATGAAAGAGAAAGAGTCTGCCTCAGCGACGACATGGAGTTGTCGAAAGTTGATATTTTTAATATATTTTAAGAAATGCGTAAATAAAATAAATTATTTCATCATTCATTGCTTTTCTTCTCTCTTTCTCTCTCTAGAACCTGCCACCAAACTTTAATAAACCTTTTTTTTATTTATTTTTTTTTAATATTTAATTTTTCAACTTTAACTTTCAATTTATTATTTATTTTATTTTAATCGTTTCCATTATGTTACGTGATTATGTTTCCAACATTATGTTATGTCAACCATATAATACTAACATTTTCATTATAAATATATATAATAATGAAGATATATTATTGTCATAAATATTTATATAATATTCTTCTCAAAATTGAGTGTTGACTTTTTTTTTTTTAATTTTTAATATGGAAAATAGAATATGAACACATGTCAATTTAGTCATTAGTTCACACCGTTTAAAATTTTCAATTATAATTTCTTATTTTTTTCAACCATAAAAACTAAATATGAATTTTATGAAAAAAAAAATATAGTTTTTTAAAATTTGGGAAAATATTCCAAATTAGAATTTCACAAATTTATAATTTGGAAAAAATAATTTTAATTTTTATAAGTCATTCTTTAACAATATAGCTTTTTACTCCAGAGATTATTATAATATTGTATTTATTGAACTCTCCTGGATAAATATAAATATAAATTATTAGTTATAATTATATTTTTATAAAAAAATAAGAAAAAAAAAGACTAATTATTCGTGGGGCCTTAATTATTAAGTAAATAAGTGATGATGTCTAATGCAGTAGACTTCATCATTTTGTGCCTTTATTTATTTATTTACATTCTTTTAATATAAAGTTGGAGAAATCATATGGATAATAGTTAGTGCATTTACTTTTCATTTAATTTATTTTTTAAAAATTGAATAATCCATATTTTAATATTTAAAAAATTAAATTTAAATACTACTATACTTCTTTTAATTTCATAAATAACATATTTTATAGTAAATTTTGGGTCATCATGTAACGTTTTGTGCTCGAGATTTGTAATAAAAATTGGAAATTGGATTTAACATTTAATAGTGAATAATGTTTTCACAAACTAATACGAGTCGTTTAAACATATTTTGTCTTCATTCACATGTTTCTTAAGAAATTTTTAAGTCACCAATATAAAAATACGTCTCGTTTATATAGATAGTAATTATTAATTCTTTTAATTTTTTTTAACGAACATATCTACAAAACCGAAAAAATAGAAGATAAAAATATTATTTAACAAAAGGCTTTAAGAAATGTAATTTGAATATCCCTTTTTCATTTTTCTTTTTTCTTTTTTCTTTTTCATTTTGTTTTTTTGGCAGTCACAATACTCCATATGCAACTGGTGGCTGATTACGGATTTACCCTTTCGAATTTGGGCCAGTCCATTATTTGCATGGGTTTACTTCGACAGCGTGTTGTCCGTATATATTTTTGGTCAAATTGCATATTTAGCCCTCAACTTTCCAAATTTACTTCTATGGGAACTTGAATTTTAAATTTTAAGTCTTTACCATGCAATTTTTTATTAATCCAAAATTTGAAAATAAAGAAATATACGTTAAGACGTTTTACTTTTATGGAAAATAAAAGTTTGAATAAATGAACCAAACCAACCTAACTCAAATATTTTATAATGGATTGAATTCATTACTTAATAATTTAAATTTAAAAAAATTGTATCACGGAATCGTATCTAATAAATATTTTAACTCGGTCAGCTCAATCAATGAACGCCTCTCGTTGAAAAAAGATCGATCGAACAAATAACATCGATACTTGTGCCTATTTTTGTAAATTATTATCATATTTTGAAACAAGATGTGATCAGTTTCATAAATTCACACATCCTTTTGTTTTCAAAGTTGAGATGATTCTTAGCATATTTCTGTTTATGAGATGACTTTCTTACATAAAGGATGCATTTTCATTCTTTCAAGCTTTAAATGATTCTCGAGGTTGATTGAGTAAAGGAATTTCAAGGGACAATAATCTCTTGTATTTGATTTGTCTTATTGAAATGAGAGTATAACTTGTTTGTATAATTAATTCGATAGAATAACTATTATGCTTATTTCCAATCTTAACAAAAATAAAATGTGGATCTCCAAGAAAGAAACCACATAATTATCTTTGATTCTCTCCACCATTCTTTAAAATACTTTAAGATATGCAGATAAAAAGCACATTACAATAACTTTAGCTATGCTTTGAGTTTCAGTCTTGCGATCGTACTCTTCGAGCAAAGTGTTTTACGTGTTAGTTGGGCCTCTAATCCGCGTAGATCAAGGGTGAACACTCATCGTTTACGACATGAACTACCAGACCGCTACCTTAGCCCTTTAGAGATAAGAACGAAGTAGTGATCGTACTTCTCAGGCAGAGTGTTTCACGCATTAGTTGGGCCTCTAATCCACGTAAACCAAGGATGAACACTCGTTGTTTACGACATGGTCTACCAGACCACCACCTTCGCCCTTTAAAAGTAGAGGCAAAGTTGCTAGACCAATAGAGAGAAACGGGCCAACTATATATAAAATTGTGTTGCATTAATACTAAATATTAAAAAATGGGTATTTATCAATTCATATCGATTCTCAACTCAACCATATTTGGAACAATTGTGTCATACATAAATTTGTACAGACTTTTATCAAGGAAACACTCTTCATATCTATTGATGAACTTCAAACGAAATCTACAGTTCTAATCATTCATAAAAAAAGCAAGAAAAAAACAAAAGGAAATCACTTTATAAGAACTAAACCAATGGCAGTGACAATGAGAGTTGAGGGAACTCCAAACTTAAGATGATTCCAGAAGGACAAATTGTAGCTTAGCTGTGGAGTGCGGCGAGCCTGCTCGCACACAATCAAGTTGGCAGCTGAGCCTAACAATGAGAGATTTCCAGCCACAGTACTGATCCAAGCTAAAAGCAGCCATGCCCGTTTCTCTTCCATTGGAGATATCGCAGCAGCCGACGCGGCGACACGTGCTCCAAGCAGTAGAACTAACAAGATCACACTCAAAAAGCATAAGATATGATGGAATTGGAAAAGAAAATTGAAAACTTGGAAAGCAAGGAGGAATTTAGTACCAGTAGGCACGTTTGAAGCCAAGTTTGAGAGGTATAGTATGACAAGAGCAAGCACAACAGTCCCAGAAACACGATCAATCTGAGCATGCGGCTCCATGAAATCCCAAAAAGCACTTGGCAGTCCAGTCTTGTTGAACCCATCAACCGTCATGAACATCCCACAAAAGAACACTAAAAGTGAATAGGAAACCTTTTCTAGGCATGGCTGAGCATCCTTGAAATCAAGAACCACAAGAGCGAGTGCAGCAGTCACTGCAGTCCATGACATGTTCAGCCCCATCAACAGAGCAACAAGCATTCCTATAGTCACAAGATAAACGCAGCATTTCCATGCAATCCTTCTCCATTTTGTGCTCCAATGCTCCTTTTCTTCAGAGGACGGTAAAGATACTGATTCTTTCTGTTTATCCATTGAGTTTAGGCTCTTAGAAGAAAACCCTTCTTCCCTTTTAAGAGAAGATGCATCTGATATTCTTGCCGACTCTGTCAAAGCACTATGAGACCTGTGGATTTCATTTTCTTTTGAACTTACTGATCTTTGAGTTTCGACGTTTGCGTTCATCGAATCCAACCGAGATTCCCATTCCGGAGAGTTAAGGGATGGAATTTGTGTGTGTGACAATCTGGCAGGTGAAAATCTATGAGAAAGAACAACTTCATCTGCTACAATTTCTGAGGATGGATCTTCTTCATCCTTTTGAACAGATAGCAATTTCCAATATAGGATAAGAATAATTAAAGCGTTTACAACAACACCAACAAGCATAGCTGGGAGTATTCCAACCACAAATTCTCCAAAAGGGATTTTACTCTGAACAGCTATCACCAAGTTTTGGGGGTTGCCAATAGGTGTGGCTGAAGAACCAATGTTTGCACTTGATGCAAGGGCAAGAAGGAAGGGACGAGGTGGAAGATTATGTTGCCTAGCAATTTTCAAAACGAACTCGGTCAAAACCACACACGACGTGTCGTTGGTGAAGAAAGCACTTGAAATTGCAGATATCAGACACACTCGACAAATCAAATCCTTTGCTCCTTTACTCCTCCATGACAGCACCTTACCCAAATACTTGAACATATCAGCTCTTTCAAGATAAACACTTACTACCATTGTCCCAAATAGAAGACCAAGTATTGGGAGATCAATGGCCGCATACGCTTGGTCTGGAGTTAGGACTCGGAACACGACCATTAGCATTGCCCCCAGGAGAGACCCTGCAGTTCTCCCAACTGGTAGAAATGGGATAGCAGGGAAAACAGCTAATAACCAGAACGTTGCAAAGGCAATTGAGCCTAGAATCACTTTTACAGTATGATCCATCGCCATTTTCGCAACAAGATTCGACTCGAGTCAGCCTTGAACCTGATTGACTCGAATTTTTCGAATGTCGTTTCAGCACCAGAGTAGCCGAGAGTATCTTGATTCAACTTCTGAGAAGAAAATTTAGTTTGCATATCTTATCAGTCATATAAACAAAAAGAAAGTATAACCAAAATGATGGAATACAAAGACAAAATTTCAGGAACCTGATCTATGTAGCTTGAAACGATGACAAAATTTCTGAACATAAACCATCTGTGAAGAATTTATACAACTTACTAAGAGATAAATGCTGATTGAGCCAACTTGTTCACACTTCATCTATATTTTTAACTTTGAAGATAAGAAGAAGTCCACTAGCTATGTAACATTAATTAACATAAAGTTCAAGAACCAATATTAATCTAATAGCTACAACTTTTTGAATTATAAAGATATCAATATGGTTTTAAACAGTGCTTTGAAACTCGGCCTTGTCACCCTCAAATTAGCCATTGCCATGGAATTCAGAATCCAAATCTTCCAAGAACAATAATGGAATTACGAAATTCATTGACCAACAACAAGAATTTGATCTAACAACGAAATGTAAATGCAGGTTTTTCACATACTTCAGGAAAGGGCAGCTTCAAGCTCTCATGACTTAATCATGGAGCTTCAAATCTTCAAATCTTCAAATCTCCAATCAACAAGAATTTGATTGGGATGTTAACAAATTTCAAGTTTAAAACACAAAAGATTAAAAGGAATCAAAAAGAAGAACTTACGAAAATTTTGTTTGCATCTGGATCCGAAAAGAAGAGATCTAACTCTTGCTTTCTCTTCGAAAACGAATGGGAATCTAATCAAAAGTGGATATTATGGAAGCTGCTCTCACAGTAATTCAGAGCAGAGAAAAAGTTGGACTGCTTTCCTGTCCACATGGTGAGCTCTCAGCTTTTAAATGAAATAATGGTTATATAAAGACAGAATTTATAATCGGTCACCGATTTCATGCCTATTTCGTCGACCAGTTCAAGTTACAGGGAATGTGATTCCCAAATCCATTACTAAATTAACTCCTATTTTTTTATTTTGTCTGACAAATAATTGAACATTACTATTCATCGATGTGTTCGTCATATTAGCCGTTCATTTCTTCGCACCCTATTTATTGTGAAGATCGTGAAGTTTTTTCATACTATTCCACAAATTGGGACAAAGGTTAATAATAAAGGCTAAGAATCATCCCTAAACAGTTTACCATTTGTCCTTTCAATCTCTTCGTATCCATTCTATCACAGTCAGCGGCGGGCTCCACCACGTCGCCGGTGTAACCGTCGATCTTTCTTCCTCCGAATGAGGATCTCTCCTGTGAAGGTTCTACCCTGGATCACGTCAACAAGCGCACCTGCAAACGGCAAGTGAAGGCTAAAAAGACAAATGGCGGCGGCTACCGGCGATCCGCGACCGGCGGAGGAGAAAGGTGGATCGTGGGCCAGGGGAAGTGTGCTGGATTTGTAATTAATTGTTCTTATCATATTTATTTTCCTTTTTTTTCAATGAAAAGACACGAAATAAAATTTTGAACTCAAAAAAATAAAAAAAAAAATTACAATTTTTTTTTAACCTTTAATCATTGAATTCATGGCATTTAATAAAAACTTTAGAGCAATCATTTCGAAATTTAATACAAACTCAATTATTTATGTACTCCACATAAAATCTATATTATATGTACGGTTGCCAATTTTCAAACTAGATTTTTTTTGTTTCTCTTATTCTTATTCAACAGATTTTATTAAATTCACTCCATTTTTATATACTAAGATTTTATTTATTTATTTTTTGGAAATTGGAATTTAATTCAATTAATAGAAATGTTATGTATTTATTGATTTAAATTTTCATTTTATATTGTTAAATTATAATATGAATAATAAAAAAAAAATGTTAGCTGAATTAAGCTGGAAACTGGAAATAAAGATTATACTCCTCGACCTCGCTTTATATATATTATTTATTTAAATTGAATATATTTAAGATTATATTATATTATATTCTAATATTTAAGTTAAAAGAGGATATTGAAGTTTTTTATTTTTTAGAATTTCTAACATTACAATTTAAATTTTTAGAAATTATGTTAATATAATATTATATTATATTTTTGTTACGAAACATTATTGGATTTATTAGGACGTTTTACCATTTTCAATAATAATTATATTAAAAATAAAAATTGTCATTGTTTTTTTCTTAATAATAACTTTAAACAAAATTAATGGAAATTTTTTAGCGGAACTCGAATTCCATCCTAACTCCATAAAAATAAACTAAAATTTTTTCGAGAATGGAGATTGAAATAGATGATGAAGACAAGGACGGAAAGGTTTATCTGTCTCCTGCCCACCCGCCTCATAGACATCTTTGGATGAAAGTCGATCCGGTAACAAAATTAATTTTATTTTTAATTATTTTTAGTTTTTTTTTTCTTTTTTTCATTGCATACCATTTTTGTTTATTTTATGTTTCCAAATTGTTTTTTATTTTATCTATGAAAATAAAATAAAAGGTCAAATAGTTTTCTATAATAAGAAATTATAAATTAGATAATAACCTTTGTTTCCTATAATTGCAATTGATCATTATTTGTTTCCAACCAAAAAAAAATGTGACAATTATAACATAACATATAAATATGGTTAAGACTACGACCGATCATTATAAAAAATGTAACAAATTATATAGTTTCGTAAAATTTCACTTATAATAAAAAAAATTATGAAATTATGACATTTACGTACATTTCCTAAAACTACAACAGACAGACAGATTATAACAAAAGATTTGTAAATTTTCTAAAACTATAATCGATCATTATTAATTTTTCTGACTAATTAAATGCGTCGAATTATAACTAGACACATAATGGATAAAATTTAATCAAACGTTGAAATTGAACCACAAACGTACAATATCATATGATGATATGATATAGTAAATAAATTTGATTGGATTAATGTTATAAGAATGTGTGAAACATGAAAGTAGATTGGTACCCACCAATGTCTCATCAATAATAGACTTACCAATAAAGAAAATTAAAAATAAAAGGTGTGAAACTCCTCCTAATTTCAATATATTTCCCACGATAATGTTAATTAATATTAATTAGCAGGCTTAATAATTTTATCGACTAGACTTATAAACGTTTACAAACGAATCTATTTAGATTTTCTTTAATTTCATTAGTATAGCGTAGAAAGAAATCTATATTAGTTCGAGCGTCATTTTAATAAATTATTCTCTGAATTTAAAATTTATCATTATGACTAAATTTATAATTATTGTGTTTTTCAGTTTGATCGTACCTAATTTTTAAAATTTCAAAGTCATTAACTTTTTGAAAAGTTTTTTTATTTTTATTATTATCGCGAACGATTACTTACAATGTGAATACTAAGTTACGTGTTGATAAGTTAATCGAAAATATATATATTAATCAAATGAATTCGACCCGCGTTAACTCATAAGATATAAAGTTGGAGCACTTTAGTTAACCTAATTCATGATAACTTATTCCATTCACAATCCCGAAGTTATGTAATTGCACTTAATAACAGCCACGAAACCAAAGTAAAAACACTTATCTTTTAAAATTATATAAATTAAAATTAAAAAATAATAAATATTTATATATATTATTGAAAAACATATTTTAAAAAAAAAAGTGTACGTGAAAGGGATGGAAATTAAAGAGAGAAAATTATAAATTTATTTGGAAAAATAAAAACTTTAAAATAGGCATAATATTAAAAGTTGCATATAAATTTGTGGATTATATTAATTCAAATAATTTTCAACCATGTCATGTCAAAAAGCATCCCGTTTTCTTTTTGTTATATTTCGGTGTTAATAATTTATTTAGAATGATTTCTAAAGTGGTTCCTTCCACGTAAAGCAAATTTTCTATCAATGTTCTACAAAATAAACTCGACAATAATTTAAATTTAGATTTCTTTTGTAGATATAGGTTCGACTTGAATTATTAAAAAATTGAAAATTTTAATTGAATTTGTGGAAAGTAAAATAAATAAATATATATATTGAACCCAATATAGTTTTACCGCCTTCATTTGAACTTAACTCAATCTATATTAATTTATTTATCAATGTTTATTTAATAATAGAAAATAACGATATTTTATTTCCCTTCATTTTGTTGCTATAGGTTAGGCAGCACCAACCTATTGAATTGTATCTAAGGATAACTGCATTATCCCAATACGTTTATGAATATAAATTAATTATAAAATAAAATAAAATTTGAGTGATTTACAGGTCAATATGCATTAATAAAACCTCAAATATTACAATTTATTAAAAAGTAAAATAATTTTTTATTAAAATTTTAAAAAAATTACAAGTAAGATTAAAGAAACTAGAATTTAAAGGTTAAGTATTAAAGTAAATAAAAAGATTTTTTTTTTAAATTAAAAAAAAAAAAAAAAAAAGTCTGCCTCTTAGTAGCCTTTCCTTTTTCCTTTTCAAAACATTACATTACATTGGTGGAAGCCTCCTCGACCTATAATACTAAAAGATTCTACAAAAGAAAATTTGGCCTGTCCGAAAATTTGGACAGTTGGACAGGTGTTAGACACAGGTGTTAGACTCTATCGTGTTACCCCTTAGCACCTACTCAAGATATCTAATCTCATAGGAGACGAGCATAACTAGTCGAGGTTACAAACCTGACTCAAATACCAGTTACTTAAATAAGGTAGCCTGCTCCTAAAAGCAAGAACGAGACAACTCCGGGAAACCTCCGAATGCGCATGAGTTCCATAGCACTAGCTGCCTAAACTCAACCGCCAAAAATAGCTACCATACCTTGAACAGTATACTACTAACTACTTAGCTAAATATATAAATCATTAAAATAGTGATACCTTCCAACTTGTTAGACACCATTAAAGTTCACATGTACCTACAAAAGAAAGTTTAAGAAATAATTATACACGCGTTAAAGCTCGAAAGTTGTGATAGACAATATAGACACAAACCTCTAAAGTTCGTTCAACATTCTTTTTAATGATTGTAACATTCAACTTCCATCTTTATGAAAATATAATGTGACAAAGGCGGTAGCTTCTGGAGGTATGAAAGAAAGATTCACATGGAGCATATTCCCCAAGTCACGCAGTTATGAGATGACAGAAAAATTAAATGGAAAAGCCCCACTCTGCCAGTGAACAGGCTGAAGTGTTTGTTGGGGCAAGTGGAAGCGGGATAGGGTTTGCTTGCAATTGCTTTAAATCGCAATTTGCCTCCACAATTGACCTTTATCCTTCTCTGTAAACCGTGTGGTGTTTTGGGAAGAAGAATGTTATAAATGTGGCTTTCTCAAGGTAGCTGAATTGTCAGTTTCTCTTGACATAGCTGGGTCCCCTTGTTTTGAGCTGAACTTTCCTCTCTTTCACATTAAGCTCGACGTTTTCTAACGTCGTATACTTTCGTACGTCCACTTGGATCCTTATTTAAGAAGTGGTTATTTTGTTCTAGAGATCAAAATAGTCGCTTCTTAAACCTACAAGAATGAGAAATGGACATGTTAAAATATGGAGATCAAAATCAACCAAAGTCAATAATTCAGCATCAAAATACTGTTCATACCTTTTTAGATCAACTATTCATTCCCTGCCTTGAGAAGGAAGTCCTTTGCAGTTTCTGTTTAGGTAG